TTACTCCTTTCTCCTCCACCTTCTCCTCTCGTCCTCCCATCCCTGACTCTGCCCTCCGCATATCAGTGTCGGCACACCTCTTACACGTATCGTGGCCCCCACAGGGAGCTCCACCGAGAGCTCCTGTGGCAAGGTCCACATGCGTCCCCCAGCCCATGTCGGCACACCCCTCACACGCGTCGCGGCCCCATAGGGAGATCAAACCAAGGGCTCCTGTGACAGGGTCCGCATGCGTTCCCCAGCCCATGTCGGCACACCCCTACACGCTTCGTGGCCCCCACAGGGAGCTCCATCGAGGGTTCTTGTGGCAGGGACCGCATGCGTTTCCAAACTCATTTCGGCGCGTTCCGCTCACGTTCCGTGACTCCATAGGAAGCTCCCCCGGCCCATATCGGCACACCCCTTACACGCGTCGTGGCTCCATAGGAAGCGTCCCCCGGCCCATATCGGCACACCCCTTACACGTTTCGTGACCCCACAGAAAGCTTCGTCGAGGGCTCCTGTGGCAGGGTCCGCATGCGGACCCCAGCCCATGTCAGCGCACCCCTCACACGTTTCGTGGCCCCAACAGGGAGCTCCACCGATGGCTCTTGTAGGGCCCGTATGCGTCCGCCAGCCCATATTTCGGCACCCTCCTCACACGTTTCGTGGCCCCCATCCGCATCCTGTGCCCCATCCTTCCCGCGGCGAGCTGCCTACGAGGTGGTTATCATGATTCTTAGCTGCATATGGTTGGGTCCTTCGCCAGGCTAATTTTCGTGTCGCCGGCCCCCCCTCAGGACCTCGACCATTGCCCCGGTCGTTTTTTGTTATTCGGTGGTCCTGGTCCGACAAACGGCTTTCATCTTACCGAATATGTGAAACACCGGTCGCCACTACCTTTGTCCAGCGACTGGATCGGAAGGTGGACGGGAATCTGCTACGATCCGCGACTCCAGCCGCAGGCGCTGTTCGGAGACTCCCCAGGGCGCGCCAGCATGCCCCCAGGCCGCAGGAAGTCGTCCTCTTGGAGCGCCTCGAAGGCGGGGGGAGGAACGAGGGAGGGGACGCGAAGGAGGAGGGTGGGAAGGAGGGAGGGGGGGGGACGAAGGGAGGGAGTGGGAGGAGGAGTGAAGGGAGCAGGACGGGAGAGAGGACAGAGACGGGCTTGTGCACGCAACAAGCCCTCGGACCAGGCCGCCTGGTCTTTAGCTCGCGCGCGTGCCGTGCGTATCACAAGCCAAGTGGAGAAAGGATCGCAGAGCAGATCCGCAACCCCAATGGAAAAGGGTGAAGGCCGATGCTGCGCTATGCAGCGCTGTACCCTCCAGGCGGAAACACATCACCAACTGGGACGGCAACTTCACGCAGCGTCGGGCCATCGTCAAAGACTGGATGGAGGAGGGGGAAGGGGAAGAGGAGGGGGAGGAGGACGGAAGACAGACAGAGGGAACGGTACATAATAAAAGCCCACGCGTAAACCTTCGGGGATGCCTCAAGGTACTCGAACAATTTGCCCTCACGCGAAGGAGGGGCGAAACGACAGGCTGAAACTCAATAAGGGAGAAGGCGAAGACACGATCACAACAAGGAGCCTCCATGAATCGTAATTCCCATCGCATGAGGGAGACATATTTACGCATGCTACAGCGCCCATGGATACACACAGCAAGGCAAAATCAACTGGTTGTGAAATGGCAACTGTGTCAAAACGGAATAGAAGGGCCTGACCGGAGCGGCAGGGCGTACCAATGGTCGACAGTCGCCTGTCGTGCGAGCCTGGGGCGAAAAATAGCGAGCGTGGGTCCCAAAGCCGAAAACATAAAAAAACGCGAAGTACAGCTCAGCCTAACGCGTGCCGTGCAAGGCAAGGCCAGGCAAGGCAGGGCGCCGACAAACATACGTTCAGAAGGACGGCCCTACGATAGCACGGCGGTTGGGCAGGAGCCCGGGATGAACTTTGGATCCCCATGTGATGCATGAGCGTGAACGCTCGCGGTGGAGGAGGGAAGGCGACGACGACAAGGAACAAAACCAACACCACTTGGCAAAACCTATCCTCCGCAAGAGGCCGGCCAAACGCCAACGCATAGGCGACAGCATGCATGCGGAGGAGGAAGAGTGGCAGGCGCGAAGCAACGCGAGGTGCACTAATCAAGTGAAGGCATGCGCTCCTCAGGAGGCTTACCATGAAACGAGTGATGATGCCCTGCTTGTTTTCTTCCTGATGCCGACGATTGTGAATGTTTGACTGCGGCTTGTCTGGCGAACCAAACACGTTGTGTCCATTACTGCCTAGAGCAGATTGACGCAATCGTCTTCAATACGAATTGATTGCACTTACCTCTGACTACGAAATTTGCCGAAGATGTATAAAACGCTTGTCCACAAAACCTGCGGAGCCGTACTTGAGAAACCCTTGCTGCCTGAATCCGGGTGCAAATGTGCAACTGCCCTTTGCAATCTGATATGATAAACAATCCTGTCAGACTCTGTAGTGCGCGACGGGCTGCAGCAACGAGCTGGTCAGTCTGCTCACGCAGTTGGAGTGTGCTAAGTGTTCAATATTTATGCCGTCCCAGTTGTCGTTTCTTGTTTCTGCAGATGCTCCAGCATGTCCGAGAAAGGTGCTCTGATGTTCTGGCCAGGGGCCGTCTGCGAACTTGCAACCTGCTTCCATTTCATAATACGTATCAAATACACCCGGAGGTTCTTCAGTAGTGCCTCCCAAGTCATCCAGATTTCCCTCTGGTATACAAAATAAGTTGTCAGAGACTGCGTGCCTGTCAAAATGCGGCCGCATATTGTTCGAGCTTGAGAGAACATGCGCAACCATATGTGTGTTTCAGAAGCTCCACCCTCGGTATGGTCTTTGATGTGCGTGTGTTGGTATCCCCGCAAAGCTTCTGCTCAGAATTCGCTGCTTTCGAGGCCAATTTTTCAACGGCCAAGACTAATCCGTCGATTGTTTCTCGTTGCACTCACCTGAGGTACTTCTTCGCTCCATGCTGCGAGGAGGATCTTTTGAGAATGCCGATGCGACAATCTTTGCCCGACTTCACCGCACAACACGCGCACACTTTCCAAACACGATGCTGGTGGCGTTCCGCGCCAAGAGAGACAGGGATGCACGACGAATCGAGAGCACTCAAAGGCTCATGTACACAAGACGTGACATACAATAAATCTGCAAGTACGGTGGGCGGAGTAGCGGCAAAACCTTTTGATCCATTGACATCGTGGCTTGGGCCAGAGGAAGAAGACGAGGAAGATGAAGAGACGAGGACGAACGAACGACAAACGACGAGGACGGAGAGATTGTAGAATAGAGGGCCAGAGGGAGGGAGGTGGGAGGACGGAGCTGGGAGGACGAGGAGGAGGGAGGTGGGAGGAAAGCGGAGGGAGGGAAAGATGGATGGTAGGAGGAATGTAGGTGGGAGATAGAGGAGGCGGAGGGGAGTAGAGTGGAGGCAGAGGGCGACTGAGGAGGCGGGAGGAGAAGGAAAGGGGAGGGAGGCGGGAGGAAAAAGGGCGGGAGACAGGCACGGACTCGCTCCTCCGACGCGCGGCCGAACCCAGACCACGGATGGCACGGCAGCGCGGGTCGTACACCTCGAAGTGGCTTCTTCGTGAAACTGCGCGGAATCACTAGGACACACGCGCACAACTCCTCCTCCTCCTCCTCCTCCTCCTCCTCCTCCTCCTCCTCCTCCTCCTCACCCCCTCCTCCTCCTCCTCCCCCTCCTCCTCCTCCTCCTCCTCCTCCTCCTACTCCTCCTCCTCCTCCTCCTCCTCCTCCTACTCCTCCTCCCCCTCCTCGACCCTGGAAACTCGATCCTCGATCCGTGAGAGCCGACGACGCCGACGGCGGCGGCGGCGGCGGCCCCACCCAAATCCCTTCGAGGTCGGCTCCCAGACCCCTTCGGGGGACCGCCCTGGCTCCTCCTCCTCCTCCTCCTCCTCCTCCTCCTCCTCTCCTCCTCTTCCTCCTCCTCCTCCTCCTCCTCCTCCTCCTCCTCCTCCTCCTCCTCCTCTTCCTTCTTCTCGTCGCGGGATGGTCTATTCCTCGCAGGGATCGAGCCCTCGTCCCCCCGCCAATTCCGACCTATTGTCGGGTGGAACGGGGGGGGGGCAGACGAAAGGCGGCGCCAGGAGAGGTCGGGAAGAGAGGCGGGGACAACGGAGGAGAGTCGGAGCAGGGGAGGGGGCAGGGCCCCCCCCCGAGCCGCGGAGGGCTCCCAGAAAGCACGTCCGCACGGGCAAGAGAGGAAAGGGCGGGGCGAAGGGGGAAGCGAGACAGAGAGAGGGGGTGCCGTGCGAGGGCGATCTCTGGCCCGGAAGGGATCCCTGAGCGACCCGCGTCGAGCTCCAGCGCGCCCTCGCGCGCCCTCCCCAAGCCCGCCCCCATGGGCAGGCAACCTGCGTGCGGGGGAGGCGCCAAACCCCGACGCCTTTTACCTCAAGACGCGGAAGGAGTCTACGACGTCGGCAGCGACGATGAGACCCTGGCCAGCTGGCCACGGAGGAGGTCGTGAACCCGGAGCGCCAGCTGACGGATGCGGACACCTACTCGGACCTGGCCCTGGCGCTAGAGCAAGCAGAGTCCTACATGAAGGACACGCTGCGCGGGCCGCGCAAGCGAGAGTTCCCGCAGATAGAGGTGCTCCAGTTCAGGATCGAGGACGGCTGGGACTTCTCCGAGCCTGCCGTGATCCGCGACTTCTTGAACAAGATCGACAACGACAAGCCCGGCGACACGATATCTTCTTCGCTCATCCGTGCAAGTACTGGTGCTCCTGGCAGCACGTGAACGAGAAGATCTCCGAGGAGCGAGCCAAGGATATCAACGATGCCAGGGAGCGAAAAGAGCGGACGTTTCCCAATAATATTCTGACGGCGTTTCTAAAGCAGCAGAACGGAAACCGACATGCGCATGTGGAAGGCTCGTGGCGGGGGCCACACTGGCGGACGAAGACCTGTAAGAAGTTGCCCGGACATCACTGCAGACTCGACCAGTGCAGGTTGGGAGCGAAGTACAAGATCCAGGGCAAGGACATTCCCTGCCAGAAGTCCACCAAACTGCAGTCGACCAATACGGAACTCATTCACCACATGAACCTGGCATGCGCGTGTACGGAGGACCACGTGATCCTGCGGGGCAAGTTAGCCCAGCGGGCTCAGAACTACCCGAGACCGATGGCGAAGCGGATGGCCTACCTGATCGCCTACCAGTGCACGGCCGACGACATCAGCGACGTCAACGCGGCCGAGGAGGTCTACAATGACCACGACGCCTTCGAGTACACCGACGTGATGCAGGAGCTGATGAAGCGGTTCAACGTATAGACGATCCGAGCAGTCAAGCGCGCACACACGTCAGCCGGGGCCACCCTTCGAAGGCAGCGCTGGCGGTTGCCGTGCAGCACGCGGGTGCCCTGGCGGAGTGGATCCAGTGCGCCAGGCTTTTACAATGCGAGATCTGCCTAGGCAGGCAGAGGCCCCGAGCAGTTCGCGTCGCAGTGCTGCCGAAGGCCAAGATGTTCAACGAGGTGGTCTGCACCGACGTGCACTACATCACGTGGAAGAAGAAGGAGAGGAAGATCCTGGCCATCATGCACGAGTTTACACGCTACGAGGTCGACTACCCGATCTCGAAGGAGACGTTCCTGAAGGAGACGAACCTATGGGAGAAGCTCTGGATCAGTTGGGCCGGCAAGCCTGAGACGATGCGGATGGACATGGGAGGTTCGCACGCGGCCAAGCGCATGCACGACTGGACGAGCAAGCATAGTATCCAGCACGACCTGATTCCGAAAGACGCGCACCTCAGGTTGTGCCTGATGGAGCGGAACCACGCGGTCCGGAGGGAGCAGCTCAGCAAGTACCATTTGCAGTTCCCCGACGACTCGCTCAAGACCGCCCTCAGGATGACTGCCAGCCGGCGGAACACCCTGAGGAACGTGCACGGGTTCTCACCCGCGGCGCTGGTTAGGGGACGCAGCCCAAGATCCCAGGCGCCCTCTGCGACGAGGACTTTGGCCTGTCGGAGCAGGCCGCGCTGGTTGACCCCAAGAGCGAGGTGCACGAGATGATGATCAGAAGGACGGCCGCCGCCATAGCCTCCATCGAGGCCAACTGCTGGCGCGCAGCAGGCCGACGAGGAGGAACTACGAGATCGGCGAGTGGGTCTACTTCTAGCGACCCGGGCAGACGCAGGGCCTGGAGAAGTGCCACTGGCACGGCCCAGCTCTGGCGGCGGCAGTGGAGGCGAAGGTCAACGACCACCATGACAACGCGTCCTCGCCGTGTGGTTGGGCTTCGATGCTTCGGCATTGAAGCGCCAGAGGTTGTCTTGGCAAAGTATTTCCGGCTCCCAGCTGGGAGCACCGCATGAATTCGACCGTATCTCTACACGAACAACACGTACCTGCAGGCTTTCACAAAGTATGCCTGCCAGACTCGGGCCATTTCGAGATGGCAGCGGAAAATGGTCGTGCAGCAGCCGGCCATGGGCTGGACTCTACCTCTCCTCTTCCTGGCCCGACGGATGTCAAGAGCGGCGTGGCTTTCTCCAGTGACCGTCCTGGCTCCGCCATCGAGGCGCGCACACCGCCTTTCACGAGGTGCCCTGGGAAGGCCGGCGTCGGCGGGATTTACCTTCCCTGGCCGGCTTGGGCAAGACTTGAGACAAGGCGTGATCTTCCTCAACTTCGCGTTCTTCATCTGGGGCGCCATCCAGCGCTCCTCTCGGACAGTGACCGTTCGGCGTCCATTGGTTGGAGTATTCTGCCTGGCTGATAGGGGCATGGCTTCCGGGGAGGCGTGTTCTTCTACTTCTACGTCCTATTCTCCTCGCTCCTCGACGCCGTTTGCGTGCTGTCGGCGTTGCTCTCGGACAGTGGCCGTTCGGCGCCAGTCGAACGGGACAGGACTTCGTGGCGTCGTGTTCTACATTTACGCCCTTGTCTCCGCGATCCTCGTCGCCTTCTGCGCGCAGTTGGCGTTGCTCAAAGAAATTTCGGCGACCTTCCAGTCGCTCGCACTTGCGCGCTCAGCCTCCGGCCACCTGTGCCGATGGAGTCGGACAGGGCGGAATTCCATCGAGCTCCTCTGCCCTGTTTGTTATGTGCATGGGGTGTAAGACCGTGCTTCGCACCGACATCTTGCCTCATCTACACACCTGCCAGGCGAAGGTCAACGAGGACAACGTGATGCACACCCCGGTGATGTGGGCGACGCACGGATGCGCGATCTACCGATGCTCCGCGGAGCAGCTTCGCCACGAGCTGCCAGGCGAGGCCCGCGAGCGTGAAGGACGCAGCGAGGACCCCGACGGCCCGCTCAGCACGATCGAGAAGCTCAGGCGCGTGCTCAGGCGGACAAAGGGGACCTGCAACTACCGCGACCTCGCCGACACCCTGGACGACGTGGGCGAGCAGCATCAGCCCAGCGCCCAGGCACTCATGCAAACGGACGAGATCGACGGACCGACAGGAGCGGCTGCCGCGGCGGCTCCTGGAGATCCTCAGCCGGCGACGCCTGGCGAGGATGAGGGCGACGGGCCAGCAGCGGCCAGTGCCGGCGCGTCTGGCAGCGCTGAGCAGGAGCCTAGCAGATTCCACATCGAGGCGATGGCTAAGAGGAGTGTTGGGGAGGCTGAGAATCTGGACGGCATCCCGCTGGTCAAGCGCACCCGCCTGTCGCGGGCAAAGCTTGCTCCGCAGAGCGAGGAGGCTGCGCTCGCCGATGAAGTGGGCGACGAGATGTCGCTGCTGGAGGAGTCCACCGAGACGGTCCACATGCTGGCCTTCAACAGGAAAGCCCCCACCATCGTGGAAGGCTGACGCCCGAGGAGAAGGACCAGTTCTACGCGGCGAAGCTGGGGGCCCTCGAGGTGTTCAATCGCAACGACGACTGGGGGCCCATCGACGAGGCGGATGTGGATCCCGCGGCCTGCTTCCCTCCTACGCTTCCTGCTCAAGTGGGGGATGAAGGGCGGGCAGAAGGTGGCCAGCGCGCGCGTGCTCTACAAGGGGTTCAAGCACCGCGACGTCGCCGAGGGTCAGCTCGACAAGGAGGCGCCGCCCCTCAGCGGGCTTGGCCGACGCGCGGTCATTCTCTGGGCGTCTCTGAGGAAGTGGAGACTGTTCACCGCGGATGTGAAATCCGCCTTCCTGCAGGCTGAGGACGCGAGCGTGCGCGGCCTCAAGCTGCGCGCGAGCCTTACGAAGGAGATGAGAGAGATGCTCTCACACCAGATCGGCCCGCAACCTGGACAACTGCTCAAGATGATCAAGCCGTGCTTTGGTGACCCGCGGTCGCCCAAGCTCTGGCACTACCGCTCCGACGAAGTCACGAGGGAGGTTGGGCTCAGGAACTGCGAGCTCAAGGATTGCCTGCTGCTGTTCCAGCACCCGGCGAAGGTCGAGGACGACCCGTTCGACGCGCGCAGCTTCGAGGGCCAGACCTACGTGCTAGACGGCCTGATCGGCGAGCACGTGGGCGACTTCATCGGTTGCGGCGAGGGCGTGACGAACGAGCAGGACCTCTACGCGAAGTTTGACGACACTGAAATTTCCAGGCGCGGCTAGAGGCGCTCAGCGAGAAGTTCAAGTCCGGCAAGTGGGAGTTCGGGCCGAGTCTGATCTTGGCTGGAGGCGAAGTGGAACAGTCCCTGAGCACCTACAGCGTGACCCTCAACTTCGAGAAGTACCTGCACGTGGTGAAACCCATCACCGTCGATAAGCACTGGGGGGCGGATCCCACGAGTGCGTTGTCGCCGAAGGAGCTTGCGAACTTCAGGGCCCTGAATGGCCAGTTGCAGTGGCCGGCAACCCAAAGAATGATCATAACAACGGCTACAGTGTCTTTCAGAATTTCGGCGACAGGACGAGCTACCGTGCAGGACGTGCTGGGCGCGAACAAAGATCTGCGCTTTCTGAAGGCCAACGGGGACGTAGGGCTGTACTTCGGGTTCGACAAGGCCTGGAGCGACCTGCGAGTTGGCAGCTACACTGACGCGAGCTGGGCGAGCCGACATGACGGCAATTCGCAAGGAGGTTACGCGATCTTCATCGGACCCGTAGACGAGCTCAACGCCGGAACCCCGACGCCTTTCGTGGCTATGGAGTGGGCCTCGAAGAAACTGCAGCGTCTGTGCAGGAGCTCGCTGTCGGCGGAGGTCCAGGCGGCAGCTTTGGGCGCGGACTCGCTGATGTGGGTGAAGGTCTACCTGGCGTGGAGCTTGCGACCCGACCTGGAGCTCGAAGAAGCGATTTGTGTACCTTGGAGGGTCGCCGCTCACCACGGGCGCGAAGTGCCTCTACGACGCGTCGCACTCGGCGAAGGCAGGCCTCGGCATCGAGGGAGAAGAGGACGGCCATCGAGGTGAAGATCATGAACGAGCAGATGACGGAGAATGACGGCGGAGGGGAGGAGGAGGAGGAGGAGGAGGAGGAGGAGGAGGAGGAGGAGGAGGAGGAGGAGGAGAGGCGTTTGGCCGAGGAGGGTGCTGCATTTTACATCGCCCCACCGGCCAACCCCAGCGGTCACAGCTGACCGCGTCCGCGCCAGCGCGCGAACGATTCCTCGTCCGAGGAGCCCCACCTGGCACCGCCGAGCTCGTGCACAACGATCGGCAGCACGTGACTTGGTGAGGCTTCATCAGGCGATCAGCAAATTGCAAGATCACCACAGCTACGGCATGAGTGGGAGATGGTACTGTGCATGCGGCAAAAATGTGCCGGGGCATTTGCGTTGGTGTTCTTGTGGCAGATCATGGGAGAGTCAGTACCACAAGGAAATATCATATCGAGCTCCCCGCGCATCAAGTCGAGGAAAAAGCACAGCTCCATGGAGGAAAGCAAATGGCGACAAAGTTTCAGAGGCAGCATTGGATCAGGAGATCAGAAGGCTCATATCCAAGACAGCGCCGGCCAGCCCTCAGCAGGCAGCTGCCAATTCCTCGTGGATGAATCCCCCGACAGAGCCCACTCTGCAGGCCAAATTTCGAGAGGAGACAAGGAGCAGACTTTACCGACTGGCGCACATGGTAGTCTCAGCTCAAATGGCGGGTCAGAACGATATGGCATCGCTGGAAGAGATATCAATGGCAAAGTACTCTCTACTTCTGCTTCAGCCACCACAGAAGCGCATAAACGAGACCCGCCAAAAGCTGGACAAAGCCTTAGAACGACAGGAGACTTTAGCATCGAAGATAAAGGAGCTCAAGGGTCAGGAGATGCAGTGCACAAAGGAGGTCGACCAGCTGAGAGCATGTCTCGAACAAATGGAGGCCATGAAATCCGAGGCCGACGAGCTCGGAGTGCAGGATCAAGCAATGGACATGACGGACAATGCTCCACCTGGGCCTCCTACAGTGGCACCGACATATCAAGCAAACGGAGCCTGGCACCGCAATCAAGAAATGGAATCTTTCATGCAGCAGATGATGACCAGGCAGCAGAATATGGAGAATTTCATGCAGCAGTTCTTCTCGCATCAAATGGGGGGAGGCGTAGTTCCATCACCACCTCCTCCGATGCCTCAGGCTGCACCAGCGGTTTCGCCGTTCACGAGCCCAGGGGCCCCAGCGGCGCCAGGGACACAGATGTTTGGACACAAGTGCTTGGCCAGCAACCCCTTCGCAGCCACGCAGATGAGCCCTGTCACCCCTGCCTCTCAGGTCCGCCCTGCAATGCAGCCACAGACGCAGCAGCAGTATCAGCAGGGGCAAGCGGCAGTCCAGGCGACACCAGTCATCGTGATCGACCCGTCGCAGTCCCAGGAGAACCACGATCAGGCCTTACAGCAGCAGATGATGCAGGCCATGATGTCAATGAAGGGCAAGGGCAAAAGCAAAGGAATGATGGACGAGCAGCTGGGGTTTCCCACAGCGGGGCCGACAGGCCCCGTGCAGGCGGAGGACGAGACGCCTGTGTATCCAATGCGGGTTACGACATCGCAGGTCAGAGGAGAACCCACTCCAGGGCTCACTCCATCGGTACCGATCACGCCGACGGAGATTGCTTCTGCTACGCAGCAACCACAGGTTGCGCCAGTCCAGCACTTTCTCATTTCGCCTACGCAGCCAATGGAAATACCAGAGGCGATACCGGGTCCATCGACGTCATGCACTGCCTCACTTCAAGAGCGGGCCTTCGAGTACATGATGAGCTCTCAGAGTCTGCACGATCGAGACAATGGCAACTTTCCGCCAGCATGGTTTCCCCCAACCCAGGACTGGTACAAACCGCTAGCAGCTGCAGGGGTTTCCCCGACAGCGACCAGTGGAGCTTCTACCTCTGCCAGCGGCGCATCTCCAGCATCAGTGACACCAGTGGAAGGGGCAATGGAAGGGAATCCTACACTGACGAGGGGCTCTGCAATGGCGGGACTAGGCAGCAGTCCACCCAAGAAGTTGCAGCGCGGCGACGACGAAGTTGTCGAGGAGCAGGAGATTTGAGCTACAGGCGCAAACGAAATAGGTTAGAGGTCAATGGGAGACCCTCGACCTTTTGTGCAGCCAACTACTCTGACTCCGTGTCTCCACCAATTAGCGGTACAAGGGTAAACGTACCGATCAACCAGACCAGCGGCAACGACAGCTACGGGTACTTCAGCGTCGACGTCGAGCGGGTCAATGACTTCTACCTCATGGCTCCCCCTCCAGAGATGGTGGCTCCTCCGCCGGAGGAGGGGGCAGGTATCAATTCTCTTGGGATGGGCACATATCTCAATATGGTAAGTGAAGGGCCTCTGAGTGGTACGGGGGCAAACGAACCACTCAGCCAGACCAGCGGCAGCGACAGCTACGGGTGCATCAGCGTCGATGTTGAGCTGGACAATGGCAACTACTTCAAAGCTCCCCCTCCTGAGATGGCAGTTACTATGACTGAGGAGGTGGCCACAGATGCAGCCCCGATGGTGGAAGGGACTGATTTTGATTCTAGTGGGATGAGCGCACATCACAATTTGCCAGCCTTTTATGCATGCACGACCTACACGGAAGTTAGTTCTGGATTGGTCAATCAGATGACGACGATGGGAGCTCAGTGGTCATCAGACATAGTCATATGGGGAGAGAATATCGCTTACAATGACTATCTCAACTGGTGTGTACCAGCAGTGCTTCAGGCCTTACTTAACAGTGGGCTATCGAAAGATTTCTTGATGACGCAATCGTTGGTTGACAGAGCAGTTGAAATATGTCAAGATGCGTGGCAAGCGGGCAGCAGAGAAAGGATTGCTGCACGAATATATGACCACAATCTATACTACAGCACTTGCACACATCTGATTTGGCTGCATAGGCATATGCAACAACAGTTTGTACTCAAGTCAGTTCGTGAACATCTACTCCAGATGGCTGCCAGCTGGAACGAAGGAACCGAGAGGGGAAGAAATCACATCGCAAGGGCCAACAACGACATACATGGGATGTGCTATCGAGCCCTGCGACGTGCACACCAACTTGCGAATGAAGTGTCCCCCTATGTTGTTCCAGGGCGCGAGGCTAGAGTACGACCGCCACCTATCTTCCACCATCCGATGAATCCGCATCCGCAGCCACAAGACCCAGATGAGCAAGTACAAAGGCAGGATGGTGAGGAGAATGATGATCATGTTGAGTTCTTGCAGACATACGTGCAATCAAGCTCAGCAACACCAGGGTCTGCAGCATCGCTGGGGTCAACGACGATGCCTATTGGGGTTACATCCTCTACCTTGTCTACTGCGCCGACAGCGGCTTCTGAACCTTCTGAGGCCAGCAGTTTGAGCGACACTGTTTTTTCGTCTGGTTTCCCAGGGATGCGGGAATCCTCACAAACCAGGGCCTGTAGTGTGGAAAATACTCGTGCGAGCTGTCTTGATGGCTCCCGGCCCCTGTTTTTAGATGTTGATGAGGACTCCCAGTCCCAGAAGGACGGGAGTAGCCCTCTTCACCCGAGGGGGCCGAATCGTCACCCTCCCTGCTCCACTGCCTCCTCGCCTCCCCTCGGGCCTTCGGAGGGCCCTTCTCCTTTCGCTGCAGCTGCGAACCGCCCTGAGAGGCGTGTCAAATTCAGCGATCACACGTGCCAGCGTGCAGTGGACAGCTGTGATTTCACACAGCAAGGACGAGAGAGGGCGCTAGAATATTTAAAATGCACTCCATTGCCCTCGGCTTTAAAGAAGAAGTGCCCTCGGCAACAGACTGAAGGGTCACCACAAGATGACAGCCAATTCAGAAGCCAGGGACCCTCGTCCTTCGACCCCACCCCGACCGAGGCCATCGAGGGGGCATCCAGAGTGCAGCCACAGACCCCCCCCCCCCAGACAGCTGAGACTAGTGGTGGGACCTCTATTACAGAATATATCAGGATAGGAGTGGGCAATGCGACATCTTGGGTGGATCTGATAGATATTACTCCTCCTCCTGAGCAAGATCATCTAGTTCCTGAAGACCTAGAAGCACCAGCTAGATATGCACTTGACAACAGTACCCAGCGGAGGCCTGACCTTAACAGCCTTCAGCACGTGTGTCTGTACACGGATGGGTCGCATTTTATGGCACGAGGCTTGGCTGGGTGGGCAGTAGTCATCATAGGAGTTGATGGGCAGGGTCAGTTCTTCGGGGGATCGCTTCGTCACACCTTCGATGACTCTAGCAGCTTTAACCTGGACATTCAGTACGTCACGAGCACCACCATGGAGCTACTAGCTATCACATGGGGATTAATCTGGACACTATACCTTCCCGGCTCGGTCGAAGTTCGTCTCATGTCCGACTCCAAGTGCTCGCTGGACAGCATAAATATGGACGCCCTCCCCAAGCGAGACCAGGCCCTAGCAAAGACGGCCACCGTGCTCTGGGACTTGATCACAAGGCAGCGTCAGGCTTCAAATGAACATGTCAAAAGCCATAACCTGGACCCCTGGAACACTCTTGCCGACAATTTAGCGAAGGCCTCTGCCCAAGGGACCATCCAGGACACCTTGCTCCCTGATGTCTGGGTTGAAGGCCTCAAGGAAGGCCCACAGAAATTTTGGGAATGGTTGCGGCTTGCGCCTGATGACCGCCACGCTTACCCCCCCCTTGTTGATGGGAAGTTTGTCTCTCAGCCGCTCACGCCTAGAGCCTCAAAGGTTCACTGTGTTGACTTTGTTGTTAAGAAAAATCAGCAGGCTGAGGTGAGGATAAAATTGTGCCAGTTCAATGTTCAAAGTTTTAGAGATGCTGACAGGAAAGGCGCCAAAGGACCACTACGGCGCGCCAGGCTGGACATGATGAGGCAGCAGTTCCACAATGATAAGATGATACTCATAGGCCTTCAAGAAGCCAGAAACCCTCAGAGGATGTTTGTTACAGGGGATGAAAAGTATTTAGTCATATCGAGTGGACATCTGGAGTACAATCTGGGGGTTGAATTGTGGGCCAGTG